AGAGAACAAAAACTGGCTCAGTTTATAGTACGGAATACAGACCTATTTTGTCGTGAGGTTTAGTTGTAATCTCCTCCCAGGAATTTGTCTCCAGATTATAAGCATGTATCTATTAAACGGACACAATAATTACTGTGAGGCAAAAGGAGTGTTAACATGGATTTGTGTACAAAATGAAATGGTAACATAAACAGTGATAAGCATTTTGAATTCTGGCTGGCACACAGTGAAATGTGTTTGGTAAGTTATACCCTTATTGATGTTGTACCTTGTCCAGAGGGTAAGATGTCCAGGAAGTTCCTCCTCCTAGAATGTAGATCCTCTGTCCGTCATGTGCTATTTCATGCCTGTACCTGTAACAAATACAACAGCGTGTCATGGAGATTTACTTACATCTCTAGCTATGTTTGATCCTTCAGCACATTCAGGGGTCATATAGACTTACCGTTCCTCAGGAAGGTCGTCTGGAGGGTTGTTGGGCTTGAGATGAATCCACTCCCTGGTGGTCAGGTCCAGCCTGTGCAGGTCTGTGCTGTAGATGTAGCCCGTTGTCCCCCCAAATACGTACAGAAAGCCATTTATAATAACCATTGCCTGAAGAAGGAAAGATATGAACAAACCTCAGTCTCTACAATATTTCAAATCCCTACTTTTAATTTGAACCAGAGTTAATCACATGGCAGGGTGATTTATGAGGTTACCTGTCCATATATTCTGTTGGGCTTCTTTCCCCGACAGTTGAGCAGTGACCACCGCTTGTACTTCACGTTACAAACATGTACGTCGTTGCCATTATTTTCACCAAAGGGGATCCCGGTGCCGCCAAACACCAGGAGGTTGTTTCCGTGCAAAACAGCTAAAGCAACACAGGAACACCAATCTCAATTTTAAACATTTTGCAACAGAAAACTTGATTGTGTTTGTGTAATGTTCAAACAATGTTTCACCTGACATGGACGCCAGCTCTGTTGGCATATAGCCGTCTGTTTGGATCTGCTGCCAGCAGCCCGTGGCAAAGTGGTACCTCCACAGCTCCCTGAACAGGGGGTAGTCTTCATTCTCTGAGCCTCCTGACTCATCGTAGTCAGGGTTGTACCCTCCAAACACATAAAGGTTTGTGTTGTCGGCAACACAGCGATGCCCACTGCGGGCAGGGGGAGTACGGTGGCCTGGAGAGGGAGGAAAATATTTTAATGAGGAGAGAGAGCATAGTGACAGAGGTACCAGACAGTTGGCTAAACATCCGCACAAAAAGATACGAGAAAACAACTGAAATACAAGTTAGTTTAACTAAGTTAATATCTCTATTTGCACTAATTAAATAACATTAAATGACCTGTGGAATGTTTAGTGGAGGCATGGTCGAAAGCACAGATACAAATTTAACACAACAAAAGTTATACTTAGTTTTCTTATTTATGTCTGAAACCTAATAAAATATTCCTGAATCGCAGCAGACCATGATTAACTGCAACACTTCTATCATTACATTACATTTGATTGGCAGATGGTTTTGTCCAAAAGACAACAAGGGCAACAAACTCTAGAGCGAAATCTGAACAGAAATCTTAAGCACAACTGTTCAAAATAAACAGCTAAGTGTTCAGACAGCTATACATGACTACATACCTAGAGTTAGTGTTTCATTCATTTCTGACATGTGAGACGAGCACAAACCTCTACCAATGTAGCTGGAAGGCAGAGGGGGGGAAAGGCTGCTCCTTTGGGCCACATTTGTCAGTGGTTAGAGGTCTGTTAGAACTATTCATTTCTAGAACTGCTACTCTGTAAAAACTAATAACCTAGGTCATTTCATATCTTGATACAATATATCTCACAAAACGGCATGTTTTCTGGTAAAGCGTCAAATAAAAGAAAGAGCATTTTGAGTTAGTATGTGCTTGTTATAATGCCAATCAAAATATGAATTTATCACAATGACTCCATAGAAAGACAATTAATAATCATATACAATTATTGCCCAACCATAGTAATCAGTTAGTTGAATTAATATGATCAAAGAAAAGCAAAACAATACATTATACATGTAGGCAGTTTATGGTGACCAAGTATTTCACGTCATTTAATATTTGTTGCAGCTGCTTGTCAATATCAATCAGAGATACCTGATTTGGACTGTGTACTATGTTGCTGGACCCTAGGTATGACTGGCCTTGCTGAGTGTCAAACTGTTTCTGTGACACGCACATCAGAATAGAGACTAGGACCAGGATGTGTACTAAATATCTTCCCAACATATACATCTAATAATAACAGTCAAATTGAAAATAATAGAAATCAAAAGACTCTCAAAGTAGTCGATCCTTCCTGGCTTTGTCCACACATCATGGATCATCAAAACCATGCATGTCCTTTGAGTACTAATTGCAATTATTTAATTTACTGCTGGGTAGCATGTGAATTGTATCTAGGTGTAACTAAATTGTTATTTAAGCGTTGATAATATTGTTTATCTATATCTGCAAAGTAACTAAAGGTACTACATAAATGTAGTGGAGTAAAAGTACAACATGATGTACCTCTAAATTGTAGTGGAGTAGAAGTACAAAGTGACATCAAATGGAAATACTCAATTAAAGTACAAGAAGCTCAAAATTGTACTTAAGTATAGTACTTGAGTAAATGTACTTAGCTACTTAAAACCAATGATTTTCTGGAGATAATGATTATTCGTGTTATTAATACGTGTTACCCAGTAACGATTCACAGCCCTGACTCATCTAAAAACACAACCTCAAAGCATTGAGGTGTGTGCAGGTCTGTAAACCTAGCTAATACTCGTTGACTGTGTTTCGGGACATATTGCTACTTAGTGGACCATGTCGGTCAAATATAGTGTTTTACCAATAAGTAAACGCTATGATAACCCTTTTAATCCATTAAGTAACACGTATTATCTTGGACATGGTGTGTAAAAAGCTATGTAAGATACAGAATAGCTGAATGTTGCTAGCTTGAACATAGAGCTTAGCAATGTCACCAATAAGGGCAACGTCTGAATTATTTACATGTAAAGGTGACATAGTATGTGGAGCAGATGATCTCAGTCTCACATTTTGAATTTGACAGGCAAAATGTGCCATGGTTGAGGTTTAACCTGTCGTTAGCATGTGTAGCTAATGTTGTTGACCGACCTGCTAACGTCTCCCCGTGGGGCGGCCTGTGTGTCAGCTTCTCGAATATATTCAGCTGGTCTCGCGTGCGAGCTCCTTCACCGTCCGACATCTTTTCTCCGTTATAATCCAGTCCTGGAGAACTTCACATCAAATAAAAACAACATAAAGTGCTGATAAAACATTATAAATCATTTCACGTCTCAGTCAGTATGAAGCCATTCACAAATGTTACCCCCTGGCCGTGAGGCACCTGACCAATCAGAGGGCTTGTTATTGGGACGTGGCGTCATTAGAGATGGGCGGGGCTGCGCGTGTCAGCGGTCGGTCTCCACAACAACAACAGGTACTTTTCTCTCTGTCCAACAAGTGCGGTGCATGGACCTCAGACGCTGGAGAGGAGGATTCATCTTGTGGAAAGTTTCTCACTTAAAAAAAACGCACACTAGCAGAGCTGAACGCAGTATTTAGAAGAATAAAACATTGAGTCCAAAATCCTCCAGGTAAGAAGTTATAGTGTAACGTTATGGGTTCATAGTAATCTAGTTAGCCTATATTTCATTTTATGTAAACACATCTTCATGTCATTAAACTCCCCAAATCCTTAGAAATATTACCATGCGCATGACCTTAAATAACTACATTTTAGTAGCTGCCCTGAACAAAATAAAATCATAAAATTAAGTTTAAATAATCTCTATATCTGAGAAAACAATATTTTCAGATATCCACTAATGTCCAAATAGACCTCTGACTCCACAGTCACCTTTCACATGAGTTGGGGTCTGTCTGTTCAAAATGGCTAAACAGTGCCCTCCATAGGATATGTCTATGTATTTTTCCTATGATAGATGGACAGGTGGTCTGCCCTGTTGGATGGAACTGGATTACCAAAAGAAAAAAGGAAACCTGTGGCATGTCAACAATTGCAAATAAAGCATGTTCGTGCGTTATTTATGTTTTTGGCAATATTGATTTAAAAATCTGCAGATGAGGTGGAGTATACTTTGTTCACTCCATACAAAGCAGGAATAGGCACATGACGTCCAGACTGAATCTAGGCCGTGCCCATTAGGAATGCAGTTTAGTGGCATCTGTAACATCACATCCAGTTCCCTCACCAGCTTGTTAGAGGTGATTCTGAAGTTAGTAGTAGGTTATTCCCTAAAAAAATACAAAATAATATAGATTTAATGTATGCTGCCTTTAATAAAGTCACTCATTCTCCCCTGTCAAATAAAACAGAGATTTGGACATATATGGTTTCCTGCAACTAAAGGTCCTATTTCACAATCAGAATACCTTTATTCGTCCCACAAACTGAAAGTTTACGTTGTTACAGCAAAGTAAAGAGCCAAACATAGCTAAATATTAATTAAGAAGCATGCATAAAATATTATCGATACAAATTGAAATGACACAAATTACAATTTTACAAATTACACATCCAGTACCAGTAACAGTATTTAAAAATAATAATAAGTGTAGCCTATGTATCAAATAGTCTGATAGCAGCCAGGTGATATTACAAGTGAAAGTATATATTGCACGGTTATTGACAGATTATTTATTACAGAAGTTGACAGCACAGCAGCCAGTAATAATAATAATACTAATTATGAAGCGATGTATATACATATATATATATTGCATATAGTAATATTGCACACAGTAATATTGCATATAGTATTAGTAATATTGCACACAGTAATATTGCACAACAGGGATGTTATAGTCTTGAATAAATACTCTAAAATGACATTTTGACACACATAGAAACACCTCCTTAATTGAATAATAAATAAATCTGGTCAGTGAAGAGTCAGGCAGTTCGGGGGGCTCAGGCTCGTGCTGTGGTCGGGGTCTTTCAAAGCGGAACGATTGGTTTCAGGTCTTATTTTCCCGGGGACCACAGAGCCGATCATGGCGACTCTCAGCGGCAGTCGTGGGGATCGCTTCGGCAACACTAATCAACGAAAGTCTTCTTTTGCATCTCCAGAGAAAGTCCGAGCACTTCTTAATACAGGAGTGTCCCCGGCACAGGTCGGGTCTAACAGGTGGGTGTTTGGAACAGTCGCGCGCTCCTTTGTTTGATTTTAAGAGGCCGAAGAGCAAGTTGACATGAGCTAATTTGGCTAGCCACCTAGCTTTCTCTGCTGCTTTCGCCGCCTTCACTCAGCGGAATGTGAGGAGGCACAGGTCTACAGATAATGGAATCTTGTAGGCCAGCAATGCGAGTTCGATCACCATTTGTATTCATGATTGCAGTTGTTATTTAGTCCATTTACCGGACTGATTTGTTATAGTAGTCATTGTGCTATCGCTGCCGTGCATGTTCCAGATAAAGGGGATGGGGACACAAAGTTCTAATCTAGCATGGTCCTCCATTAGTTTGCCTTATATCAGAGGTGGGAGAAGTACTCGGACCTGGTACTAAAGTAGAAGTACCAGAGTGTAGGAATACTTTGTTACAATTAAAAGTCCTGCAATCAAAATGTTACTCAAGGAAGGGTACACAAGTATAATCCAAATGTACTTAAAGTACTAAATGAAAAGTACTCTTGCAGATTGGTCCATTTCAGAATAATATATATGATATGTTTTATAATTATTGATCATTAAAGTGTTATCAAAGCTGGTAAAGGTGCAGCTAGTTTTATTGACTTTGTATACTGCAGGGTAGCTTGTGCATTTACTCCAGGTGGAACTAAAGTCTGACTTAATTATATTCCACGTCATTAATCCAAATCTGTAAAGTAATTAAATGTATTAAATATATGTAGTGGCGTAAAAGTACATGATTTATCTGTGAATTGTAGTGGGGTAGAAGTACACAGTAGCAAATACATTTAAATACTCAAGTAAAATTACAAGTCCCTGAAAATTGTACTTGAATAAATATACTTAGTTTACACCACAGCCTTTAATATCTGAGGTATTGTCCACTTGCTGCCCAGCCATCAATGCCGACTATGCATTAGTATAGCAGACAGTTTGTTGTAAGCACCGGGGTAGAATGAAGCTGTTTTCCTCTAGTGAAAGGATAAATGCATGTTACTGCTAGTTTGCTGCCTGTTTCCTGAACATTACTATCCCCAGCAATTCACTTGTATTTGTTTAATTGCACACAGTAGGCCTGCAGTAAGCATTACAGTCCAGCTGAACAAGCACGTTTATTAGAAGAAATTGGCAATCTTACAAATATTCTCATATTCAATACAATCAAAGAACAAAATGTTTTTGATTATTAAACAAGTGTGTGGAAACTGAAGATCTGTTTTTCTCTTCGTGTGTATTTCAGTAAACAAGAAAATGGGAAAGTTCTGGAAGTAAAGAGCAACACTCAAGCACCTTGTGAGGCAACGAACAAAGAGGCCTTTTTCTCAAGAGTGGAGTCATATTCAATATCCTTTTACTCAATTTAAACCCAGTATGATTCATCCAGGCCTTTCTGCATCTCATGTGATCAGTAAAGATGGCTCAGGTTGATGTTTAGTTTAATTTTGAAATATCACATCTATTGAAATGATATGATCCTTGTTTAGCTATCTAAAGTTAGAGTATTAATGAATGTGATGATACTTTTTGTGTGAGTGAAGGTTTCCTTAGCATGGCACTGTTTGAAATGGGCAGGCAAACCCCGCACTCTGTCCCCTCTCATATGCGCCCGATATGGCTGGATCAACGTCGGTTGCGATATGCTCAAGTGCTCCAGCTGCCAGGCGTTCCTCTGTGCAACACTACAACCAACTTTAGACTTTGAAAAATGTGAGTAAAAGTTACAGAAAACACAAGGGCAAATTTCATTTTGGCAAGGTAACCCTGATGTCTGCCTAAAAATGAAAGGTCAAGCATCTCTCTTTGTGTCTTAATAGATGGATCCCGCATTGCGGAGATTTCGAGGCAGCTTCAGTCGCAGCATGAGATGTTTTGCCCCTGGCCTGACTTTCCAAGCCCAGGTAGGAGCCGGCTTCTTCAATGGCATACTTACAAAAATAATCAGTAGCATACACGTGTCATTTCAGCTGAATTTACCCTGAGGTATCTGCATGATGGTCAAGGTTATTGTTGATGTTTTTCAGAGAGTTTCTGGCTGGTTCCAGCGTGTGAACCGTCAGCACTTCTCACCGCCTTCTTAGAGCGCTTCCAGAGCGCCTGTCTGCTCGCACAGCAGCTGCCTGCCATGAAGCCGGAGCAGCTGAAGTCTATGGTGAGTTAGGAGAAGAGACTTTTGGATACTGACAAAAATGCACTCGCTATAAAGAAGTACAGAAATGGCTTTCCTTAAGAACTCTTCCAGGAGATAATGGAAAGGACTGTCAAGTTAATTGTTAAAACAACTGAAGAAATTGCCATTTCAGTTGCTCACATGTAATTAATATCCCTTGCTTCCTTTGTAGTCTTTGACAGAGGAGGTCATCAGTGTTATACTGCAGCTGATCGAGGATGAACACAAAAGAAAGAAAGATTCTCCATGTTCTGAACCCTTGGCTGTCCAGGTGGCTGCATGCATTGTTTCTCTCTGTGGCTGGTCTGCAAGGTGAGATGCTGGACTATTCAATACACCTAACACTAACGCATTACCTTTTTATAGTACACACAAATTAGACACTGGACGTAGAACGAAAAAAGCACAGTTCCGGTGTCAAATGTATCTAGCATGTACTAGCTACAATGAAAGGAGAGGTGATGTCATTCAGTAAACCTGATTTAAGATGTCTGAGCCCTGAATTTTTATTTTAGCCCCGCCCTGCACGCGATGAACCTGCCTATCCTCAGATGCTCGTACTGTATGCGCAAAGTGGGCTTGTGGAACTTCTTCCAGATGGAGGGAACGCTATGCGATGTAGACGTTTCAACACACACTGTAGGGCCCTCTACCCCCTCTACTCCAACTACAGTTACTGCTGCCGTGGCCCTGCCTGAGGGCCAGGGGGACCAGCCCACTTCTGCCTCATCCACCCCTCCAGCTCGTATGAAGCTCAGGAGCCAGGACTTCACCCGATCTGACCAGGCAAGCTTTAAGCAGGGGCTTGACAGGCTAAACTAGCTTAGCTCATATATTCACTCAAAGCAGAACTACAATCTGGTGTATAACAATGGCAAGTTAAATCCACTTTTAAAAAATGCTTTGGTTTTTGTTACAGGGTGAGGGAACTGCCTCCCCCGTGTCTTTGCGAGCCCGAAGCAGAGACTCACCCAGCCCTGTGGAAGAGCTGCAAAGTCCTCTGGGCCGGGGCAAAAGGACTGCGACCCGCGGCAGAGGACAGGGGGACAGCCCTGGAGCTGAGGGCCCTGCCAGCCCCCGGCCTCTGCCCCCTCCCAAACGCCTGTGCCTGTCATCAGTTGGTGGTCCTGTAAGAACTAACATTATTACTGATTTCACACCTTGCTTTTGTGCAGTTTTCTTTTGGCACAGGGCCAACTTGCTGCCTGGTCATTTTCAAATCTTAATTCTATGCAATCTCATTAATGCATGACACTTAAGGCCCCGGCTCCACGGGAACGCATACGGCAAAACGCATCGGAGTAACGCAAACGCAACCGCAAAAAACCTTCCGCCCACACGCAATATACACCGGATTGTGTCAAGCTCCACGAGACGGCTCCGTTTACATCCAACCGCTGGAAAAGCTGCAGTACATATGCCGAACCTGTACGTGGCGCTGTAACTTCCTCCACCAAAGCAGCAACTTCCTCCACAAAAGCAGCGAAGAAGAATGGTTGTCATGGCTGCACTTCTGTTTATTCTCCTTGGTGGGGGCCGAGGGATCCGGGCAGAGTTTTTCGCCGGTCAACGTGTGTTAAAGTTTAAATCTTCCGGACAAAATTATAAAAGTGCCGGTCAAAGGTCTTCTTTGTTATTTATTGAGCTTTAAAACAAATGAATAACGACGATATAATGATATATGATAATAAAATACACAGAGCCTGTCTCTTTTTCCTCTCTTCTCACAGCATCAGTGTCTGTCTCATGCAGCAGCTGATCCAGTAATGATGACTCGACAGTAAAAATAAACATATTTATAACTAGTTTAGGTAGTTTGAGAGGTAATTAAAATAGCTAAGGGTGATGATCTGACTTGAAGTGTGTGTTTTGCTCCCGCTGCATCACAGCGGGAGGAGCTGCGTGTCTCCGTCCTGTCAGATTAGACTTCACTCGCGTTTATGTCCATATCGAGATAAAGATAAATAATCTGAATTCAGTGTGCAGTGTACTTTTGCGGGGGTGAGCAGCAGAGGCGGGGCTATTGCGTCGTCATTATCAGAAACGGATGACCGTATAGGCGACCACACGGCCCCGTTGGACCCCCCAGAGCGCTCCGTTCCCAGATCTATCCACCTTTGGACCCGTTGTCGTTTGCAGGGTCTGTTTCTACGTTTCCGTTATGGCGTCGTCGAGCTTAAAGGGCTATACGCATGAGAAATATGCGGATTCAACCCGTTTTCGTTCCCGTGGAGCCTAGGCCTAAGACCCATGTACATTAGCAAGGAGATCTGTTTACATCACAGTTAGTGCTCCTAATTTCTTTATAGGAAGCATCTGCAAGAGACAATGATAATAATTTGTTGTGCACAGGTAGAAAGGGGCAGAAATAATTATTAGGAGACATATACTGTCAAAAACACCTGGTTTGCAAGCAGAGTTTTTCAAACAGTAACAAGGAGAGCATAGGTGCTTTAGGTTTATACAAACATTATTTCCCTTAGCATCATGAGATAAAATTCTGATCTCAATTTTGATGATAATAATATAATCCTCAACATGGTTAGATTTGAAACAAGTGTTTTGTATTACTCAAATGAATTGGCTGTTACAAAACAACCTTCTTTTTTCAGGATGATCTCCTGCCCAAGAATACTTTTGACCCCCTGGCTCAGCACAGAGACTGGTGTCCCTGGGTCTCTGCGGGAAAGGAGAATGTAGATCCAGGTGTGACCCCCTTTCTGGATGGAGACTCTGTGATGCATCAGCAGGGCTGGAAGGCTGCTCTCGATCTACTCATGCCGATGAAGAGAAACTCCAACCCAACAGGAGGCAGCCCAGGACAGGCAAGTTGAATAATCAACCCAGCCTTTTTACAACAGAAAAGACCACATGGCATGAAAATGATGCACAGACTTCATGTTTTTTTTTCTCCAGTTACCACTTCTCTATTTAACTGTGGTTTAGACAATATCTAATGTTTTTCTATCTTCTCTTTTCTCTCCCAGGGCCCTCGAGATAAGTCTAAAAGGGTGTTTGCTATATTTCGTCAGTGGCAGGCCTCCTCTCCGTCTCAGTAGACTGTTTGCATACAGACAGCATTTTAACACTGAATAGATGAACTGACCGGCCCTTATTTTGTGGTACAGAGTCCAATGACAGGAGTGTCATATCATATCAATGTATGCCATCCCTTTAAAGTCGTGTTTACAGTCAACGTATTTCTTGGGGGGGAAAGGAAGATGAATGTGTTTCTAAACAAATCAATGATTGTCTTCTCTGTGAACAGTGAGATATGTGAAGGATGCCTGTTAGGCTTTAAAACCTTTAAATCCTGATTCATGAAGATTGAGATGTGCAGTAATTGGGGCTTCTATAGGCCTTGTGTCGTGGATACACAAGAAGCCCTCAAGTTATAGAAGACAGACAACGTACAAATTAACCAGAAACGAGGCGAGCACCATTAACCCCCCATGAAGTCTGATTCAGCAGTCCTTCATGACATCATGAGTCTGGATTTCTGTGGAATACAAGGTGAAAAATCCTTATTGTGAGAAAAGGCCACATGGCTTGTCACTGGAAAGGCAATGTTTACCTTCAATGTATGTTGAGGCATTGGAGGAGTGGTCAGTTTTTAACCTCAGATTAGCAAAAAAACTGTGAGGAAGTACTTTTTGTGTGTGCCGTTGTGAAAAGTAATGTGGATATAAGTTCTCATTTGGAAAGAACAATCCTTTTTTGATATTGTGAAATGTTTGTTTTCATTACATCAATCCTGATCACTGAGGGCAAGCGCAACCATGTGCATACAGGATGACTGTACTTCCTTTTGGCCTTCCTGTGACATCTCATTCAAAAAGCAGTTTTCTCTGTCTTGCATGTGCTTTTATCAATGTAGAGTTTCCTAAAAGGGTTTAATAAATTGCTCTTCTGAAAGTTTGTTACACTGTGGTCCTCTGACATTTTATCAAAAGAAAGGATTAATGAGGATTCCATGAAATATTATATTGCAAAAACAAGGAAAACGCATTCAGACGGCGATGGGATGAGAATGTATTTGTTATCTAATCTGTACCTTTTGCTGCTATCTGAAGCCTTTCAGCACTCACTGGCAGACATTTTGATGCCTTTAAACTCAAAACATTTGGTGTGAAGGGATCACATTAACACAAAGGCAGCCTTCACTGCATCATTTGTGATTACAAGAGAAAAGGATGTCTGTTATTAAATAGATATAATGAGGCTATACTTGGAGCGATGGTATAGCTTTAGCTATGGTTGTGCTCTTGTAAACATTCCCCTCATTTGGTCTCATTTGTGTCTTGTGTTACTATATATTTCCAGCTAAGTGATTGAAATTATCTGATTTAAGTTTTGTTTCTAAAAATTAGATTCAAACATCTATGCAACACAACTGCAAGTTGTGGAAGGGTTTTCTGTCAATGATTTCCAGCTGTGTCAAGACATGTTGAGTTATAAATCCAGCCATTCAGCACTTGGGTGTGTCTTTTACCTTAGAACATGGAAGAGAGGCAAAACAACAGACAAAGCCAGTGCAACTGAGTGAGGGCCAAATTGTGAAGAATGTCTTCATAGTGAAGTTTCTTCTGTCATTATATTTCTAAATAAATTGTTTATTCCCTAAATATAAAATAAAAGTGTAAATTGTGTCAAATAGCACATTAAAAATGTAAAATATAAAACTAAAGGTTTCTAAATAAAACTACAAACATAGCCATTTATGGTGACGTCTGTCGCAGATATATGACGTAGTCCGCGGAGGGATCCCACCTAGTCAGAACCATGGTCAGAACGCAGAGGCAGTGAACAGCAGAGGTCTACCGCTCAGCTGCCAGCAGACACTGAACAGTGAAGACGTTTTGCGGGGAACATTTGTGAAAGTAAATGTTAACTTTCGGATAGTACCGTTTGCTAGACTGTCTAGCGTTTCGGGGGCTAGCTTTCAGTTTACTTACTGGTGTTCTGCGGTGGAAATACGAAAATGTCGTCTCCAAGTCCGGGTAAAAGGCGAATGGATACCGATGTGGTGAAACTGTATCCTTTCTAAACATAAACAACAGTCGCTGTCTGTTCGCTATGTCCTGCTGTATGTGGAGATGTGATATGAGCTAACCCAATGTGTTGATGCTGCTTGTTTCTCTTGGTAACCTTAAGCAGAAAAAGCTTTCACTGTGAATGTTTTTGTGTAAACAACATTTTGCTAGCAAACCCAAGTGTTAGCTATTTGTGTCCTGCGAACCCTCAGTCGCTTATCGGGACAGTTGTGAAGGATAATCAGATCAGCTCTGTGTCTTTTTACCTTCTTTTTTTTTACCAACTCTGTGTTTGTGTCGTCAGTCTTAACGTTGGCTGTGTAGCATGCTGTCTATATTTGAAAATAGCTGCTACAGACGCTAACGTTATTTAGCTTTTCCAGGACAGTCTGTCATCTTGTCTCACAAATAGACCTGGTTGTGTATTAACACCTTTTGGCAAATGTGGTTTCTTTGTCCAGCCTGTTGTCAGGGGAGTTGAGTCAAACTGGCCCTTTACACGTTGACACAGGAGCTTGTTTACATAACGTAAGGCTAACGTCAACTGAAATACTGCTGTCTTTTGTTCTGACGTTACTCTCCTAAAGCTCTGATGTTGATGCGGCATTTATAGCATTCTTCTTAGCTTTGAATTGTGACCACACTAAATGTTTTATAATTGTGTTGTTGCATCTGCCAGTTGAACTGTTACATGGTAACGCTGCTGAGCTTGCTGGTTAATTTCAACATCAAAATGGCCACCTGATCTGTGTCTCACTGTACTTCAGTGTCTGCAGGCACAAATATGGGCTATCATTTTAAAGTGATTGTGATATATTTTGTTTTATAATAATTGGAAGTGAACGTGGCAGCTGTTGGTTAAGTGTTACATCAGGTGGCCTGCAGTTGTTCTCTGTGGAATGCTTGAACTTTTAGGAAACATCTAGTGTGTTCTGTTTTCAAGTCACCATGTTTACTTTTGTCCTGCCGATGTATTTGTTAAAGCTCACTTAGAGCTGACAAAGGGAGCTCTGAGTTTAGCCATATCAATTCATTGTCATTCCATACAGTCTTCTAGAAGAACAGTTTGAACAACTCGTTTTGTTTTTGTACCAACACAGTGGGAACCAGCTTTATGATTGGGTAGCCTGTTACTAGCTGGAAACCACAGGAGGGCGGGACTTAGAACAGCTGATGGGATGGCTGCACGGGTTAGTCAAATGTGGGCCTAGAATTGGGCTGGTCTGAAACAACCAAAATCAAAGTTCAAAATACTGATTTTGTAGTCAAAGTTTTAAGGGCTTAGTGTCTGATCAATTTAAAGTGGACCTATCATGCTATATTTAAATGATATATTGTAGGGCCATACCTATATAAGGTATATTTATACGTTTCTGTTTTCAAAATACCAAACAGATCATGCATTTTAGCCATGCCTCATTTCGCTCTATGTGCTGTTTGCTAGCTGACCACGCCCCCCTGCAGGAGAGGGGAGCCGTGCTCTGATCAAGTCAAGAGGGGGAGAAAAAAAGATCTTCGTCCTCCGTGTTTTATTATATTGTTATAGGCCTATAGAGTCGTTATTCATTTGTTTTAAAGCTCAATAAATAACAAAGAAGACCTTTGACCGGCACTTCTAATTTTGTCCGGAAGATTGAAACTTTAACGGACATCTTGACCGGCGAAAGAAACTGAAACTGAAATTCTGCCGCACGATCCCCTCGTTCCTTGGAAGAGGCGGAGAGGTGGGTGTTTGTCATCTGCTGGTGGACTAACCGGAGAGAATTACAGTGCTTGCCTCGACGGGGAGGGATTGCATTGAATTAAAGCAGCGGGAGCAAACGCTTGCCTCGGGGAGGGAGAAAAAAAGCCACAGCAGAGAATAAACATAAGGGTAACCATGGTAACTATGGGCGGGAAGTCTTCTTCGCTGCTTTTGTGGCAGACTACAGCGCCACTTACAGGCCTGGCATATGTACTACAGCGTCTCCAGCGCTTTCGAGCGGCAATGGCCGGCCGTGGCCCAACCCCACATTCCCCTGATAGGTGGAGAGTTGGCCCAATAGCCGTAGCGCCACTTCTGTGACGTCATTGAAGTGTTCAAATCTGGATCAGTTTTTATCAGATCCGTTGCAGCCCCTTTTTTAGAGATTTGGGTATGGAGGAAAATAGAGAGGGTTGTGTTTTCTGACACTTGGTGAGTTCCCTGGAACACCGGGGACACATATTCATGTATAAAAGACGTACAAAAGTGCATTTTGCATGATAGGTCCCCTTTAAATGTTTTAGCTTTTGTTAAGTGTGCTTCTTTTAGAACTAACATCTGATTTATGTAATACAGATTCCGCATTTCATAATACATCACCTATCATCACATTAGAGTTGGAATATCTGTGACATGTACATTTTCAACTTTATTTTGGCCTGTTGCCTGAGGCATTTCATAACGTCTGCTCGCTCACAACAGTGCTTATTTGAGCAGGTTGTTCTCCCCCCAGTTGAATACACTCCTGTGTAGGCTATGGCAGCCATGTCAGAGTTATAAAGCAGATAGTTTTGAAGCACACAGACATGCAATAGTACTACACCCCCTCTCCTTCTAAAGCTACTTGACTGACAGGCAGGGGCAGGTTTGCTGTATGCCAACGGCTCTATTCCATGCAATCACTTGTGATTTACCATACCATGACTGAGCAGGAGTCAGTGTTGAGGAAGACTGCCGTGTGTTTTTTTCGGCAGGATTGAGATTGAAATGCTTACATAGTTTGAAAACGGAATAGTCCATCTTGGTGGGTTAAAGTAGGGAGAGCTCCTGGTTACTGCTATGGGAAGCTGTTTTGTCCCCAGTGTAAAACTAGCAGTAACAACCTCCTCTCTGTGCTCCCTATCCCTGCGTCTCCCTCTGGTGAAACCCAAACCTGAAACTCACACTGCGTTTTACACAGGAGCAGCTTCTTTCTCATGGGCTGACACTGAGAGCCCTCAGACATTAATTTGCTGATGCCACTGGAGAGCTGAGAATCTAGACCGTGGGCCATTAGGGAATTCATGAAAATGAATGTCAGAGTAACCTCAGCGTGTGGTACGACCGGGTTTAAGCTTTGTCCTAAGCCAGGTCGATGGAGGGCAGCCTGCTTTCAGCACCAAATGTACAGTTGGTGTTTGCATGCCAGCTGCCTGAACTCTTTGTACCATCTAATGAAATATAGTCACGGAGAAGGCATTAAGTGTTGGTTTACACTGCCACTGTTTTTTTCTGTGTGTCCTATAATCTTTCACGCCCTTCTTTCCAAACGTTTAGTCCGGAGTGAAAAGAGAAGGCTTGTATATTGTATGGTTCTTGCCAAACTGTAGTTGTAAACCTTTTAATTCGAGTTTTTCTCCTGAACTTTTAGCCACTGGTCTTGGTCTTGGACATGTTGCTTCAATTTTGGTACATGGCGTTCTTGAACCAAGAGTCTTAAGAGTGTGTCATTTCAAAGAGCTGTTCATTCACATTGCTGTGTGGGGTTGACAGCACATACTGTGTAGGTTGTTGTGCTATTATTTGAATGTATTCATCATTCTTCTCGCTTTACAAAAGCGTTCAAGTGGTAAACTGCTGGAATTTGAGCACAGGTAGATTACAAAGGCCTATTTTGAATGCTAACGCAAGCTTTTGTGATGTCCCAATTTTAGTGCAGAGAACAGGACAGAAAAGGAACAGTGTGGAATTATCTGCGCAGCAGTTTATATTAAGTATGAATTACTAGAAGAAGAAGACATGTTTGTACAAATGTGTTTATACATTTTCTGTTGTCACAAAGCCAACATGTTCAATAGATTATCTGGTAATGAAAAGCTATATATTTTGGCCTCTTTTATAATACACCATTAATAGATAAACGTTAAATCATTTCTGGATGCTGTAT